TAAAAGACATGGGAATTGGGGAGCGTGGCTTTGGAGTACATAGTCATATCTGAAAAGTGGAAATCTCTCTCTCTGCTTTCTGATCACCATGTCAGCTGCTTCCCTCTGCCACTCTCTTTCACTAGGTTGTTCCTGCCTCACCTCAAACTCCGAGGAATGGACTAAGACATCTGAAACCGTGAGTCCCAAAATAAAATTTTCCTCCCCTAAAATTGTTTTGGTCATGTCTTTTAGTCACAACAGGAAAAAAAAAAAGCTGACTAAAAACAAATCAAGAACATGAAGAGAGAGCCTATAGAATAGGAGAAAATCTTTGCCACCTGCACCTCAGAGCATCAAACTCCAGAATATATAAAGAATTTTAAAAAAAACCTTAACACACACACACACAAAATAAATAGCCTAATCATAAATAGGCAAAGAAACTGTACAGGCCCTTCATAGAAGAAGAAATATGCATGGTCAACAAGTAGATGAAAAAATGTTCAACATCTCTAACTCAGAATGGCAATTATCAAGAATACAAGTAACAATAAATATTGGCAAGGATGTGGGGGAAAAGGTTCACTCATATTTTGCTGGTAGGACTGCAAATTGGTGCAACCACTCTGGAAAGCAGTATGGAGATTCCTAAGAAAACTTGGAATGGAACCACCATCAAATAAATTTGACCCATTTATCCCACACCTCAGCATATACCCAAGGGACTTAATATCAGCATACTTAGTGATGCGGCCACATAAAAGTGTATAGCAGCTCAATTCACAATAGTTAAACTATGGAACCAGGCTAGGTGACCTTCATAGATGAATATGGTATATATACACAATGGAATACTACTCAGCCATAAAGAAAAATTAAATGATCAGATTTGCTGATAAATGGATGGAACTGAAGACTATCATGTTAAGTGAAATAAGACAATCTCAAAAAAACCAAAGACCAAATATTCTCTCTGATATGTGGATACTAACTCATAATAAACAGCAGGGAAGGAAAACTAGAATTTCAGTGGATTAGACAAAAGGGAATGAAGGGAAAGTTAGGGGGATGGAACTAGAAAAGACAGAATGAATCAGACATAAATTTCCTATTTTCTTATATGAATACCAGTGTAACTCCATCATATACAAACACAAAAAATGGGAAGTTATACTCCACCTATGTGTGATATGTCAAAATGCATTCTACTGTCATGGATGACTAAAAAGAATAAAACAAACAAACAATCAAAACCACTGTGGTACTGGTATGAGGTTAGACCTATAGATCAATGGAATAGAATTGAGAATGAAGAAATAAACCATCACATTTAGAGCAGCTGATTTTCAACAAGGGAATTAATGCAATTCAATGGAAAAAGGAAAGTCTTCTCAGTAAGTTGTACTGATGAAACCTGCAAAAATAAATAAAATTAACTCAAATAGGATCAAAGACCTAAGTCTAAAACTATAACTTCCTTCTTAGAAGAAAATACAAATACAAATACATGGGCTTTGGATTAGGCAATGATTTTTTTCAATATGATCAACAAATAAAAAAATAGATAAGTAGATACTATAGAACTGAAAGAAAAAAAACTGTTGTGCTTCAAGAAGAGAAGAAAGTAAAAAGGCAACTCACGGAATGGGAGGAAATTTTTGCAAATCATTTATCTGGCAAATGAGTTGTATCTAGAATATGTAAGGAACTCTTACAACTCAGCAATAAAAAGGCAACAAATTTTCAAATGAGCAAAGGATCTGAAAAGAATTTTTATTTAGAAGATATACAAGTGGCTGATATGTGCATGAAAAATGCTCAACATCATTATCCACCAGAGAAACGCAAATCAAAATCATAATGAGATGCAATTTCACATCCATCGTGAGGGCAATAATTTAAAGTCACATATAAACCAGTATTGGCAAGAACATAAGGAAATTGGAACCCTTAAACCTTAGTAGCAGAAATATAAAATGGTATGACTCTTTTGGAAAAAGAGTCTGGCAGTTCCTCAAATGATTTGAAAAAAGTTACCATATGACCCAGCCATTCTACTCTTAGGTATACAACCAAGGGGAATGAAACATATGCCCACCCATAAATCTTTGTGTGTGAATATTTATAGTAGCATTATTCATAATAGCCAAAAGGTAGATACAAATAAAGAATCCATTGACCGATGAACAGATCAATAAAATGTGGCATATTCATACATTGGAATATTATTTAACCATAAAAAGGAATTGAGTAACTAATACATGTTTCAATGTGTATGAACCTTAAAAACATGCTACAATTCATAATATCCAAGCTATGGAAATAGCCTCAATGTCCATCAACAGATGAATGGATAAAGAAAATGTGGGATCTTTATACAGTGGAGTCTCACTCAGTCATAAAGAAGAATGATATTATGTAATTTATATCACCTTCAGTGAAATAAACCAGACTAAGAAAGTAAAGGTTTATTTGCTTTCTCTGATATGTAGAAGTGAGAGACAAAAAAGGAATGTCATGAAAATGGAAAGGAAGACCCAAGAGTAGAGACAGGGGGTGGAGGGAGGATGAGGGAAGGGCAGGTTAGGGGATGAGGAATGAAACTAAGCAAGTAGGTCATGTGCATGTACAAATATGCCACAAGGAAACTCCCTACTCTGT